TCACCTTCAACAGCCACCTTATTTGCAGTGACACTGTCACTCCAGTGACTGTCACATGTCCTTGATAGATAGATCTCTTCTGATTGGACCGTAGATGCCTGCTTGATATAGTAAGGCTCTGCACACTGAGTAGATGATCTTTGCCCAGAGTTAACTGTGCTGTCTACTTGGTCTTCTGTGGCCTCCATGGTGTGATGACATTTTGCTTGGACTGCTGTGGCCTGCATGGACTGAGACAGCACTTCTGACTGGTTAGGCACTGCCTGTCCTGTGTGATAGAGGCCATCCATTCTGGAATATGCAAGCTGTCCTAAGTTGTAATGCTCCCCTGGTTGGACAGTTTCTGCCTCTTTAGAGTTATACAAGTCCAATGATTGAGGAGATGTGGTGTCAGGGAAGTCACTGAGCTTCTCTGACTGGACAGTTGATGTCTGTAGGGGTCTGTTTGACTCCTCTAACTGGTCAGCTGCAGTCCATAAGGAGTTACAGGGCCCCTCTGAATTGACAGATTCAGTTTGTGAGCAATCAAGAAGCTTCTCTGACAGGGCAGCTGGCATCTGTTTGGACCTACAGAGCTCCTCTGATTGGACAATTGCAGTCTGTAAGGATTTAAAAGGCTCATCTGACTGGGCAGTTGTGGTATGTAAGGATGTGAAGGGCTCCTGTGATTGGGTATTTCCAGTCTGCAAGGATTTAAAGGGCCTTTCTGACTGGACAGTTGCAATATGTAAGGATGTAAAGGGCTTCTCTGACTGGACAGTTGTGGTATGTAAGGATGTAAAGGGTTCTTCTGATTGGACAGTTATGGTATGTGAGGCTGTAAAGGGCTCTTCCGACAGGACAGTTGTCGTATGTAAGGATGTAAAGGGCTCCTCTGATTGGACAGCTGTGGTATGTAATGATGCAAAGGGCTCCTCTAGCTGCCTAGGTGTAGTTTTTGTGGAGTTATAGAGCCTTTCTGAGTTCACTGTTGAAATCTGTAAGTGGTTAGTAAGGTGATCTGACTGGGCAGTTGAAGTCTGCAGGGGGCTCCCTAGCTCTGACTGGAAAGTTGCTAACTGTATTGAGCTATGTAGCTCCTCTGATTCAACAGTTGTAGTTTGTAAACGATTATAAAACTCATCTGTCTGGACAGCTGTCTGCAGGGAATTATCAAACTCTTCAGGTGGACCCTCTGCATGCTGTACATAGTAAATGAATTCCTCACCTTGTGATTCTGTGGACTGTTTAGTGTAATGGTGTGTGTTAGGTTGGATTATTGTTGGCTTGGCAGAGTTACAGTAAACTGGAGGTTGTCCGTTTATTGTTCGTTGATTGTCACAGAGCTCCTTTGGCTGTTTAGTTGTAATCCCATCTGTTGTATATTCATATGTTGACTGAGAAGGTGGCATAGGTCCAGAATGGTCTTCATTATCAGTATCTCCTCTCTTGCCACCAAAGATGCCAGAATTGCATTTTGAGGAAATGCAGATAACTTCAACAGGATAAGCCTCTTCGGTGGACTTGTTCTTCTCTTGGTCAGAAGAGAGCCTTGGCGATGTAGCTATAAGCATTGTGATGTACACAGAGAAAGGTTTTCAGTGGTTGATGGTGTCAATACTTCTTCTCATAACAGAATTTTACATCAGTGTGGGTTAGCATGGAGTTATGGGATAATCCATTGCAAAGACAAACAAGAAAGTCGACCAGGCTTGGTCTGAGATTGAGGTCCTATATTTCCCCTTTCAACTGACTCCTTAGCATGCCATCAATCTCTCTACTAACACCTTAAAAACCTATAAAGTACGTTAATTTTCTTCTCTTTGATAAGAGTTCGTTGTCATTGCAACGGGGAGAGGTTCGGGGCAGCAATGTGAATGAGAGGATCTGGTGATGAATAAGACATAAGATGGACTTAAAGAGTTGTAAGCTGCTTGTTACAAGCAAAGATGGCCATTAAAATGAAGAATGAATTGACAAACACAACATATACGTTAGTATGAGGAGCAGCTACTCAGCTACTAAACACCCACATATTTCATTAAGAGCCAAAAACTGCAGGAAATGACATGAAAATTGGGATGACAACGTCACAAAAAGCAATTATAAGAAAAAAATACAGATGCCGTAGATGATTGAGATAACAATAAAATACACCACTATTGTTAGTGGCATTTATGTGCTGGGTTAACATGGATGACTGATGTTGAAATATATCAAATCACCTTTGACATCCACAGTGTATTGGGCAGATGCATCAGCTATCTCATCAATCTCATCACCATAGTGACACTGCTCTGCTGTTTGGACAAAGCCAAAGAGAAAACAATGAGCTGCGTGATAGCTTCATGTATGTGACTAAATTCTTGATTCTTAATTGTGCAGGTACATTGTGGAACACCACCTTTCATGTCCACATTTGACTGTGAATCACCAGATGTTTCACAGCCAAACCTCTCATCGCCAGACAAGTCATGTGACTGGAGGGGCAAGGCCTGGATGCTGCTCTGTGATTCACAGTCAGCTTCCATTTTTGGGTAGATCTGGGTTCCATCTTTGTACCAACAGGCTTTGGCAATGGGATCTGAAATCTCAAATTGCTGAACAATTTGGCAGTGCTCTTCGGCAGACTTGGTCTTCTCAACATCAGGACCAAGCAGATATGTTGGAGATGGCACTACAGACAATCATTGGGGGATAATTTCAGTAACATTATCCTAGATATTAGAAAAATGACTTAAGAGAGATACTGTCACAGATATCAGCTCTGTATTGTAACAACAAGAAGAGGACAGACTAAAAGAGTTAGTCATAACTAACACATAAAACACATGTACAAAAAAAATCACCTTGATTTTTTACTATCAATTGGGCAACATCATCTGCTGTTGCACAATAGTATGCTCCAGAGTTTGAAGGATGAGTTGGTTCAATAACAAGGGTCTTCTTGATGCCTTCCATTTCATAATCAGGCTCTCTATTAGAATCATGTTCTTTATCCCTCTGCCATGACATATGGACAACAGGGTCTGAGGTTTCACATGTTGGGTCAGTGGAGCAGGCTGCCTCAAGTGACTGCGTCTCCACAACGTCTGGTGAGGGCGACACCGGCAACGTTGGAGCTAAAGATGATGATTCATATTATAAATGTGGACTTAACAATACATATTAAGACTCTAATTAAGAAAGGGGTTATAGGTTCAGCTTCCCCAAGCATGGGAACTAATCCGTTATATCTCAGACCAAAAAAACGCACATTTTCAAGGATTACATAGATATTATCATTTTGTCAGTAGAGATTAATTTTACCAAACAGAAACCATTACAACTTCACACAAAACACTACTTAAACACAGACAGACAGGTATGCATATTGTAAATGTTAGGTGCATTTAGTCTCCATGAAGCTCTACTATTTGCTTTAAGATTCAAAATTTTTATAAAAAATCACCTTTAATATCCACAGTGAAGTGGATAGTGTCATCAGAGGTTTCACAGCTGTATAGCCCTGAGTGCAAGAGCTCAGCAGATGGGATAATGAGTCTCCTCAACGTGCCATTACTCTGTATATCCCAACCACTCTGCGGGAAGAGCCTTACACCATCTTTATACCAGCAGACAGGCACAGTGGAGTCTGCAACCTCACATTCCAGCTCCAAAGCTTTGCCTGCTTCAAGTGACTTGGTTCTCTCAACGTCAAAGATAGTAGAGTACGTCACTGGTATAGCTAGCATTGGGAATTCAGGACAGCTAAATAAAATCAAGACTGTGGAAATGGATACCTTACAAAAATGTAACTGCTGAGCAGAAGATGAAAGGGCTTTGGAGACTTTCAATTCAGGGAGAGCCACAGCAGTCACAAAACAAATGATCATAAATAGGAATCACCTGGTGTGTTAACAGTTCTTTAAGCTTATGTGCATGAAACAGTCCTTCAAACAATTTAGAGTAGAAGCGGGGATTATTAGTGGCATCTAGAAAGAGGAGGTGGGGTTACGATATAAACGCACAAGATAAAAATTGTAAAATCACCTTTGATCTCCACTTGAAACTCCATGGTATCATCCTGTGTGGTGCATCTGTACACACCAGAGTGGCACAGCTCTGCAGACTGAACAACTAATGTCCTTGTGTTGCCATCTGAGTGGATTTCTATTGCAGAGTTTGAAATGAGCTGCATTTCATCCTTGTACCAGCAAACGTGGGCCTCAGGATCCGACACCACACACTGGAGTACAATAGGACAGCCTGCTTCGATCGACTTGGTCCTCATTTCCTCAGGAATTGCTGAGAACTTCACAGGTGGAGCTATAGATATGTTTAGATCTTATGTCAACCTCATGCCAGCTGTTTAGATTATTCATAAACTATTTACTGACAACTAAACTACTGAACATGCTGAAATGCAATGTAAAAAGGTGACAGCTTAGCTGCACTTTGAATAATTGTTTAGAAGAAAGGCAATAGACAGAATTCAAGGGTGTCATTAGAGTTATTTGCTTTGCTAAGGAGGTTAATATTTCACATTGCTTAAGGTAAAGCAAATCACCTTTGATGTCCACACTGAATGTGATGGTGTCACCCTTTGTCTTGCAGCAGTATAACCCAGAGTGGAAATATTCTGCTGAATGCACAATCAGTTTTCTTGCCAAGCCGTCAGTTAGAATTTCTACTCCATTTTGAGGATGGAGCTTGGACCCATCTTTGTACCAGTGCACCTGGGCAGAGGGATCTGAGAGCTCACATTGTAAAACAATGGGGCAGCCTATTGGGATAGTTTTGTTCCTCTCCGCGTCCGGCATTGCTGAAAACCTCACAGGCGGGGCTATGGATATTTTAATGGATAGTTAAATTGTAAAAATTATATGTTTTGATAAGTCAGACTTTAAAAGAGGACTAAATACATTTTTTAAATCTAAAAAAAAAAAAAAAAAAAAAAAAAAGAACAAAAAGTGGTCAATGTGATAATAAAGATGGTTAGTCTCTGTAAAAGACACAAGTAAGAACCTCACTCCACTCACCCTCTACTTCCACATTGAACCTGATGACATCATCAATGGCATCACAGCAATACACCCCCGAATGTGAGAACTCTGCTGACTGGATCACAATTCTTCTCATGGTGCCCTCTGATTGGATATGAAGACCCTCCATTGTTTGTAATTCCACCCCATTCTTGTACCAGTGCACTGGAGCTGCAGGGTCTGACAGCTCACAGTAGAGCACAATGGGGTTCCCAATTTCTACAAATTTGTTTCGATCCATTTCTGACAGTGATGAAAACTTGACAAGAGGAGCTGCAAACATTCATAAAACAATGAGAATTTTCACTGAGTCTTGTGACAAAGGATAGTGAACTTTTTTTGCACATTTGCATTACCGGATTCCAGTCAATTCCAAAGAAATAAACAAAAACACAAAAAGGCCAACCAAGACGACTACTCAAGAAAATTGACGACACACACATACCTTGAATGTACAGTGCTGCAGAATCCCGGATACCATAGGCAATAAATGTAATCTCAGCTCCGTTATCTGTATCGCGTACTCCTCGGATGCGAAGAGATTGGTGTGTTCGTGACCGACGCATGGAAAAACGTTCATCCTCCTGGAGCTGTGTACCATTTAAGAACCATGTACCAATAACTGATGCAGAGAGCTCAATGGAGAAGATGGCATCTTGTCCCTCAGGCACCAAGGCATCCTGTAAGGGAGCTTGTATTCTGGCCACAGGAACTAAAAAAAGGAAATCCATTTGTGCATGATTTAGCAAGCAATGTCTTCAACCAAGTTGAGTTTTGGTTAACAGAGAAAAAAGTACAATTGTTTTAGTATAACAGAACTTACCCAAGTGAACAGCTCTGGGGAACTCAACATTGTTGCTCTTTCCATATTTGTTTACACTGCAAATGCGAAATCGATAATCTGCCTCACATGGTACACTGTCACCAAGGATCTCCACAGAGGTTGCAGAGTCAGTCGTGAGGCACTGTAACCATTCCTGTGAGCCAGTGCCCACCTCTTGACGCTCAAGCACGTATCCAGACGGAGGGTTCTTTCGCGAGTCCTGAGCAGGAACCCATGACAGAAGAGCAGCATTTGCACGCTCTGTGTTGATCTGCACACCCACTGGACAACTGGGAGGACAATGTCTGGCCGCTGAAACAAGAAAGTCCATCATTCAACAACATCCCTTTAAATGGAATAACTGATACATGTTGATCAATTCCTAAAGCAGATCATTTTGCAGAATTCTGTGCAAATATTCCATTTTGAATGCTGTAATTTAGACAAGGAACCCTACCTTTCACTCTTAACTGAGAGGAAGTCTTCGATCTGCCTACAAGGAAAGTCACAAGGCCAGAGTCTTGGGGCATTGTATTGACGAAAACCAGAATGTGAGTTCGACCAAAGGATTTAAGAATGGTCTGATGGGTTTCACGCAGCTCTATGCCGTCTTTGTACCAGTGTATGTCCATCTCTTCTTTTTCCACTTCAACACAAAAGGCAGCATTTTCGCCTTCCAGGACATCCACTTTTCTTGGAAGCTTCCGCAAAATTGTACCTGCAATGAGACACTTGAGTGAGTGATTCCTTAGCACAGTAACAGGACAAGGAATCTGATTATCTTGTGAAAAACAAGCCCTACAAGTTCAATGTCAAAATACGTGACCTGTCCCTGCTGTGAGGGTTAAAATAACGTTATAAATGTTCAGGGACCTCCCTCGTCATGGCTAAATAAAAACCTACTTGCTTAAGGATAATCAATTGTGGTCTTTGTTCGAAGGAACTATGTTAAATATTGGTAGGGAATGGGAAGTGACCAACATTTTGTCGATCCATCCAGCTTTCCTCCTTTGTCCCTGGTGGACAAGATTCCTTCATTGACTATACACATATGTTGTTATGGGCATTTGCTAAATGACTGCTGTCATTTTTAGGACAACAGTGAAGGTGAAGGACAACAAATTTTTGTTTCCTGTTTGATGCCAGCTGTTATTAAATTCACACTGGTAGAAAAAGCATTGATGAAAAGTAACATCATACAAAGAGAGCTTTCTAAAGTCAAAGTGACCTGGCAAAAATTGAGACATCAGAATTTATGTTCAGTCATTACAATTTTCATCTACAAGGATTTACCTTTTCTTGCTTGCTACAGAGGAGGAGAGAAAAAAATAGTGATATTGCTTGATAAGCACTAAGATTTTGGTCTTAAAACAGACAAATTTAGTGTTAGGATTGTCACAGTTTATATAAATAAATATACGTACATCAATTCCTTTTGACCAAAAACTGTACTCACAATACCACATAGTCTGTAAATGAGACCATGCTGTTGTTTTATCATGTGAAACAGTTTGCATTGTCCTTGTTAAATAAAGCTATTGTTATTTGATCCTGATTTACCTTTTACGGCTACCTCTGCAATGCTTCTACCACCATCGGGCATCTCACAGAGGTAAATCCCATCATCATCAACTCCGATGTCACGGATAGTTAGTCGCCTTTTTGTTCCCCACTCCTCCATTCCATATTTGGCCCCTGGCTGCAGCCGTCTATCCTCAAGATACCATGTGATGGGAACAGAGTCCTCTGGAACTTCACACTCAAGAACAGCCAAATCTCGTTCCCATACTTCCAGATCAATGAGAGGCTGCTTGAACCGCACAGGCGGCTCTGGGACCAAGGAGGAACAACACCAGTGTGATTAAGCCAATGTAACTTCTTCTAATATACTGAAAAGACAGGCTTGAGACATTCATATATACTTCTGTTTATCTAATGATATCAGTATCATTACATTAGTATACATTCTACAGGCAAGTGAGCCCACCAAAAACTCACAGTGCACCATCTACGTCCTTCTAGTAAACACTGTAAATTGAAATATATTTAGCAGCAAATTCCAGTGAAGCAAACAAGATGAGCAAAATCATGAGACAAGTGGCTTATTTAGTTGAGGAATGGAAAGGTCATTAACACATCAGGGTGTTAGATAGGAAATAAACTGTTTGTAACTGACACCATCAGACAGTACCAGACAGTTGTAAACAAAAGAATGTGGACTATATTTAGTATTCCGTGCACATAGCTTGTTATTTCCTTATCTTATTGTTTCAACAAATCCAATTAAACACTCAGACAACTGCTTAAATACATTCACTATCTTCCATTTAAATGACCTTTAAATCCACCCTCTAGCCACCACCTACCATTCATCCTGTTACTTTCTCTATCTCTGACTGATACAGTACAATACTTTATGTTGGTGCCATGAGTTTGGACTTCTCTGGGCCATGTGAGAAATATGATCCCCTTCCCAAAGATTTCGATCACATGGACACCTCTCTAGACCTTTCACAAGCTAAGTGACTTTGCAGACATCTCCCTGCTGTTAAAGTCCACCTCAAGCTCAGATCAAATTTCAGATCATTAATACATTTCATTAATCCTCCAGTGGACCCGGGATTGGATTGCATTTAATCGAGCTGATGTCAAATACTTTGATTACTAATTATATTTACAGCTCACAGGCCTGCTGACCTATCCTTTTATGAATTTCACTGACTGATGATACAAGGCTATATATGTGACATTTACTTGCCTTAACTAGTCCTTTAAAGCAAAGCCTTTTACTGAAGAGATTAAAACAGAACAAAATATAATATTGATAATGTAAAGGTTTGTACCTTTTTGTAGTTACAGCGTCATAATAATGCTTGTAAGCTTTCTCTATAATGATGTACACTAATTAAGCAATCTTACCCAGTTTTATTTTAGGAAAGCATCAGTATACTGTGATAAAACTTTTAATTTTAATTTTGCGTTGGCTCTCTGGACTTATCCCAATAAATGATCTCAGAGAACCTTTTTGGAGACATCTCACTGACATCATCGTAATATCAAATAGATAGAAATCTGATCCAAGAACAGACCAGACCCTCACTTACTCATTTACTCATTGAAAATACATCCCAGGCTAGAACTGTGTCTGTATTTGTTCTTAAAGCCATAACAAAATTCCTTTAAATTTAACAAAATGAAAACTCTTGACTTACCCTTTACGGAGAGGTGTACGGCACTGAGGGTTTGCCCTGCAGTATTTGATGCAGCACAAACATAAACTCCGTTATCCTTCTGTTTACAGTACAGAACTTTAAGTGTGAAGTATCCTTCTCTGTCCTCATATAACAAATAACGCCTTCCAGACAGTATCAGCCTGCCGTCTTTCCTCCAAATTATTTCTGGTTTGGGTTTACCAGTCACAAAGCAGCGGAATTTGGCATGTTTGCCCTCTGTCACTGCAAACATTTTTACTTTAGTTGACTTAGTCATTGTGTCATCTTTGAGTCGATTTGACACTTGCCTACCGCTCTTCTGTTTTCCCTGGTAGGCTTTCCAGTGTCCATTTGTGTAGCCATTGCGATTTCCATCTTCCTCATGTCCTGGCCCTGCATCAACAAGCAAAACAGCCCCTGCCAATGCTTCCCCAAATTCATTCCTGGCTTTGCATGTATACACACCACCATCTGGTGCGCGAGTTTTAAAGATCTTGAGCTGGAACCATCCACCGTCCTGGTAGCTCACACTGAAATGTGTGCTTTCAAATATTTCATTGAGTTTCCTGCCATCCTTTTCCCAGACAACTTCTGGTCGTGGGTTACCCCAGAGCTTACAAGAGAAGACAGCATCTTCTCCACGACCCGCACGCGTGGAGAGGGGCTTGATGAGGAATCGTGGCTTATTTTCCTCTCTTAGCTCCATCTCTTGTGCCTCACCTTCCACCTTTAGTGTGGCTGCTGCATATGTTTCCCCAATGCTGTTCTTTGCTTTGCATATATACTGGCCACTGTCTTCTGTGGTCACAGCTGAAATGATGAGGTTGTAAACATTTCCGTCCTCAAAGACCCTATATCGTCCTTGTGGGTCAATCTTTTCATTGTTTCGCTCCCAGATAACTGCAGGCCTTGGATCACCACCAATTTGACACTTCAGGACTGCATCAGTTCCACTTTTCACCACCACAGGTCTTGGATAGGCCAAGAAACGCGGTGCACCACCAAACACATCCATTTCTGCGTCTTTGTTACCTTCACTTCACCTTAAGCAGTCCAGGAGAGCAAGAAGTGGCAGTTATTTACTGGGCTAAGATGGTCCAACTTCTGCACTGCAAATTTCTAAAAAGAGAAATAACAGAGAGATTACTTTGTTATAACAGCTTGTGCATATGAGATAATACATATATAGGGAAAGTAATTTATTCTAACATTTGAGACAGACCATTAAACCTTATATGAAATAACTGCATATTAGATTATAATTTTTGCTTCTGTGTAATAAGGAAGTGAACCCATATATTTTGGAAGGGGAAAAAAAGCAACTTCTCATTCAAACACTCAGTCTCCACCCCTTTTACATGCACATGTTTCAGCACAAACGGATTGTACGATTAATTGAATTAGATCTGTCTGCATGAGAGAAAAACACAGACTAGCAATGAGAGGGGGACAGCCTAGTCCTGTTGCAACAGCGGCCACAACACATAGCCAGTACAGCTGGTGCTGTATTTCAGTGGGAAAGTGCTTAATATAGCAAGTCCTAAATAAAGACCTGCGAGGGAGTGTGTGTGTGTCAGGTATCACAAAGACAGCTCTGAAACCCGCGTGCTCACACAAACACCAGCCGAAATCATAGTCTGCCCACCCAAGAGACCTTGCAGTCAAAATATGCAGAGCCCCTATCACACCCTTTGTTGGCAGCTCTGATAGAGAATGCTTTCTTTTAAATGTCACCATTAAAATTACTTTTCTTTCATATTAATAAACGAATCACAGTCACACTATCCTAGAGATTTTTGTTTATACTAGAGTTTGTTATTCTCTCTCTCCCATTGAAAAGTATGCTCTCCTTTTGACCATTTGTATAATTTTTATCCTTTCCCTGTCCCTAAAACTTTTCCTTGATGAGCTTTTGAACTTGACATGATTAAGTTGATGAATATATTCTTAGTCCTCCTGGATATAGGAGACAAAGTTTCATATCTCAAAGAAGATAATATCACACAGGATTCCTTTTGAAGGATAGTTTTTACTGAAACATTTAATAACAATAAATCAGTGCTAATAATCATAATAAAATATTGTCATTCAAACACTAAAAAAAACTAAAGTGCTGTATTCTTTCACAGCTTCAAAGTGTTGTTAATCCTAATATAAGACACATGACAACTAAATAAGAAATAAAGCCTCTATTTGATTATATTATTTCCTGCTATCACTAAATATTGTAGGTAAAAAGGAATTTGGTCTAAATATTGATGTTAAAGTTTAAAATAGCAGCATTAATTAACTATTGCTTACTTAAGTTTAAATTTAACTGAATATTGATGGGAAATTATTTAATATAATCTCTGAATATATTATATTCTAAGTGTGTGTTTGAATGTTAACTTGCTTTCTTGCATTGCGAGATGTTTTATTAACAAAGTTTGGACATTGCGTTGAAAGAGTCTTCAGTATTCCCTCCGGAGGTTTAAAGAGAGGAGATTAACCCCTGTGTTTACTTGTCTGATTTAATTGGAATGACCTCTGCCCCTTGTGAAGCTGTGCCGTGTACCCCTCATATGACCTACCTCGCTTCAGTCGCCAGGAACGACCGTCAACATACATTCCGCACTTGCAATCTCTCTATGAGTTGAGAAGCAATGCCACCCGTCTCCTGAAGGCTGAGTAATGTCCCAAGTTGACTTCAGATTCAGACACATGCTCTCTTCAAAGATCCCAAGTTCCACTCCAGTACATGTCTGCAACTGTCTGTGCGGTAGGAGGGAGAGAAAACAGAACTTCAGTATCCATACCAGCTTCCCATTTAACAACTTCAGAGTGGTCCCCCAATCTTTGTGTCGTTCAGGCCGTGGACACCCCAAGTGTCATTGTTCGTGGAATACCATTAAATGCTTTTGCAGCTGCTGCTGTCCCCTAAAAATACTGGCTGCCTCGATGACAGCAGTGAAGATAAGTCAGACACTTCCATTCACTTGCCAGCAGGGGCTAAAGATAGTTCAGGTGGCCAGTGTAGGGGGGACTGCTTAGCTTACTTGAGGCTTTGCAATAAAAATCTAAGGACAAGAGCAAGCTTCTGGTCTGTGTTATTTGTATCACAAATTATAGCTCAGTTAAACGTGTCTCAGAGTACAATACCTGTAATTTGGATTTAAATAAATACATTAATATACTGTATATCTAATATCCAGAGGTCCTCCACCAGTTTTGCTGCAACACCTGAATCTTTCCAGAAACATTGTGAATACTGTATATGGTAAACCCTTTTTTTGCCACTATACTATATAAATATAATATTGATATGCTTGCTGATTACAGCAGCATATTTACTGGTTATTAGTATTGTAAAGATGAGAGTTTGGTATATTGATATATATTCACACAAGCTTCAGTCAGGTCAGCTCATTGCATTGACATTTGCCACTTAGTCAGCCAATCAGGGTGAGCCAGGACAGTCCCATGGGGTTGCCCCCTCTACTATTCTTCAGCTGTGGATGGAGGCGCCTACAGGCCAAGGCTCACTAAGCTGTGTGAGCAGTGGGTGTTGCACCAGGACCCTCTCACTGGCACCCAAATCTGGCTTTGCAAACTGCATGAACACATTGTTTCACACGATGACGACTGCCCATTTTTAACTTGTTTTTTTCTAAATAGCAGAAGATCCAGTTCCAAGCAGCTGGATTTATTTTGAGTGTCCTTGTGAGCTTTTACTTTGCTAGGAGTGTTGCCACTGCTGTGGGCCATTTCATTGCGCTTTCCATTTAGCTGTGTCTGGTGCATCATGCATGATGTGGCTACAGATATGACTACTTTGCAGATGAAAGGAAGCATAGTCTTAGTTCGGGTAAAGCAAGGTGAAGATATGCTTGCATTAGCTGATTGACCAGTTTAATTTATGGTATATGAGCATATTGGCTACTATCTGACTAGTGACAACCATACATATTCATGCTGGTGTATCATCCTAACTTATCCCTATGAGTCTACGTTCATTGTATTGTTTCAGTAAGATTTATATTTTAGTCTTTGAGGGGATTTTACACATCAATGTCTGTTCACAGGTGTTGAGGAGTACTGTTGCATACAGTATGTGAAGAAAAGTTTATTATAAAGCCTTTTATGGTTGCCGAGGGAGAAGTCTGAAAAATGTCCTGCTGATTCATTTGATTCAGTGTCAGGTTGGAGCTAAAGACTACAAGTTTGAAAATGAAAAAAAATCTGCACAGGTGGACTTTGAAAGAAGTGAGCTTTCCAGACCTCTGTAGCCTGCTCCTCATCTCTGCTTGAGGCTGGTGGCTCAAAGCAACATAAGACGCTACTAGCACTACTACACTACACTAGCAGAACATGACAGAATCTCTGAACAACTGTTGACAGTCGAGTTGCATCGTGGGTAATGTAGGTACCAGGATTTGACAAGGAAGAGGAATGTGTGGCATGAAAAAGATTATATCTCTGGCTTTGCTGCAACAATTTGAATCCTTTTTTAAATCTAAGACAAAAAGACAGTTCTTTAACTCATCATTTGGCACAAGCTGAGGCTAGACTGTTGGCTTCCATATTTTTGTTGGACAGCAACCTAAGCATGAATATTAATGCACACTTGACTAGAACTGTTCCAACAACAACAACATACTAATTCAGTGGAATATATGTAAAGGAGATGAATGTAGCTGTGTGCCCTGGCTCTGGTCACTTACTACATTTTGTACACAAATAATTATTTTTTCAGTATTTTCAACCAGGACAACTTTGTTGACACCCACATTTAACATGTAAGCAACAGTATATGGAATATCTTCCTCCATGCAAATACTTTATATTTAGGGTCTCACCTTATTGGCAGGAAACAGTAAAGATCTGCATGTGTTGCCAAGTGCACTGAAGCTCCACGATCTGAGTCAACATAGATGTGACTTACACATGCGCCACATTACCGCATATTACCACAGTCAATTTGTGTATGAAGCTTGTGTATAATTCAACAGAATCTTCATTAAATTTTGCAAGATTTCTTTACTGGCTAGACTTCAGGATCTGCATAATCACATGAAAGCTGCTCCACTTATGCACTAATTTGCTGACTTGCAAAATACGGTCGAAACTGTATATATGAGTCCAAGATGGCGGACCTTACGTGCCATAATCTGATGACATTCAGATTGTGTAGTGAGTGACATTCTGTACTCATCCTCATTGAACTGACTCATTAATACACGTACAGTTGCTTCCATTTGAATAAGTGTGCAGTTATCATCTGAATCGTCAGTTTCCCTTTTGAACTCAGTATCTACGTTCCTTTGCAACCCAGGTGCATCTGTTAACAAAACTAGCAAAACCTTAGTGACACAAAATGTGACATAATCAGACTTAAGTTACAGTTTATAATTTAACACAAACATCCATGTGTCAGAGCTGCTGTTGAGATATTATCAATCAATTAAGAAATTGGAACGATAAGATCTTACCATGGGTGGTTTTTGGAGGGTTGGAGCACTGTAGCTGTTTTAGCTTTCACCTTTTCCTTGTTTCTATCAGAGGTTTTTGGCCTGATAACATCATTTAGCCTTTTTCTCTAAGATGCAGTAAAAAGTTAGTCAACAGCTGAGTTTTAATTCAGCCAGTGAGTTTATTTACAGTACCAAACCTGCTTTTATGCTGCTGTACTCTATCCAGTACCAACAGTTATTTTACCTATATTTAACTGTTCTTTTTTAAGGAGCCAGTAGAGCAGTATCTGATCCTGTGTCTTGTGGAAATGAGAGGATTGGACAGCACGTGGGCCTGGGTTTTTTCGGTCGGTGAGGCTGTTGTGTGATTGTGAGACCTGGCCTCAGCGGCGTGGGCTGCAGTGTCTCTTCAGCTGTTTAGTGGCTCCAAAGCCCCACAGTCCCTCCTCCCTGATTTCAGCTGTTGGAAGTAATCTGATATAACTCGGATCGCTGTAGCTGGTTATGAAACGCTTTGTGCCTCCATCTGAGTAACAACTCAAAGGGTTGTTGGGTTATCAGAACTCAAATTTCCTGGATCGAAAAAAAATCAATATGGAGAAGTGTGGTTTCTCTAAGTTATATCAGAACCATGTAAAAGAGATTTTAAGTACATAAGTACAGTTTGGCTGTCATAAGTTGCATACATCAGAAAAGGTTGGGGTTTACCATGTCAATGAAAACTGTAAAGTATTTTCATACCTTTCTGACATTGATATTTGTTGATATTGCTCTAAGTCAAATTCAGTCTATTTCCTTCAAAGAAGGAGTTTTAAGTTGGGGTGAAATTATGATGAAAAACAAACTGGGGTCAGACTGTCAACTAACATCATAAGCCCAGTAAATCACTGGACTAGAAAAGGGTGTGAAGCTTTTAAATCTGAACAGTGCTGACAGGATCGACAGAAGAACCACCTGCTTACAAACACTGTTTCATCAACAGCGACTGTCTAGAAAACACAGCTGGTTAATTTTGGCCAGGATCTGGACTTTGGGTCACTCAGAACCATTTATCAGTAGAGTCTGTTGCATGTTGTGACCTTATGGGAACAATAGCTGTGTCAAGGTTGTTTCGTGTATTGTTTACACCCTTGTCATGTGATTTTGTATACGTATAGTAAAGTCTGTCACTCACTCTTTGTGAGTGTAAAAGGTTAGAAGGACTAATATGTTGCTGTGATTACATCATTGTCAGAAGAAACATGACTTTATGCCCATGTGTGATGTGTTCCTGGACAGTAACAAGAGTTTAGGGATCTTCCAAAACTGCTGTCCCCATAAAACTGTTTAAATTATGTATTGGACAACCTGCCAAATAAGTAACATTACAAGGCATCTATTTCAAAGCCCAAATAAATGCTTGGAAGGCTAAAAGCACCATAAAACCTTGGTAAAATCTCAGTGCTTAACCCTTTAAGGGAAATTGCAAACACGTTTCTGTACTTCAAACACCTTTTGAAGTTAAACTCAAAACTACATATTCTGTTTGTGTGTTTGTCTAAGCCATGTCCTGCAGTTTAGTGTAATTACAATGTGGATTTAGGAAAGTTTTTTAAGGGATAGCACTGTGGTTACCTACAACATAAGGTAAAACTGGCTTTGGTACCCTATATACAACACAAGTTGAGTTTTGTCATCATCCTCTGAACTCTACACTTCAGAGTCAACAGCTAATGGTTGTATGAACACCACTGGCTGTGGGACTTCAAATAGAGTTGAAATTGTATGAGAAAGCATTTTTAATGGATTCAAATAATCATAAGTTCATTAATGATAATTTATAAGTAAAATAAAATAAAAATCATTTTTATAGTTTTTATCACTCACAATGCTGAAAAAGGAGAAAACAGTGAGCCTGACCATTACTGTCACACTTTGCTTATGTCAAATGATGAGTGAAGTTCTGTTTTCGTTATAGACCTGCAGGATGCACTATACATTACTCATGGAGGAACGAGTCCCGCTCTGCTTTCTGTAAGGTTACACTGCAACATAGCATTTAACAGACAATTTTGCCTTTCTTTCCCCTGACACTGGAATGTGAGCGAAGCAGACATTCACAGAGCTGTGGACGTGTTCAGACAGTAGCCTGCAGGCCTGCAGATACACCGACTAATACAGCAGTCCAATACATAGTGCCAGAGGACTGAACCCAGTGCCTTTTCCTATGATAACAAATGTGCTCACAGAAGAATAAAGAAGGTAGAAGTACTTAGAGCACGTGAGGGAAGTACTACTAGACTGTTGAATTCACATATTTTATCAATTTAATAAAATTGTTCTGCTTATGCATCAAAAAATTGATGTAATCTTCTGTTTTTTTTGTGTCAATGGAGACAGAAC